GCCACACACTCTGTAACCACTGAAAACAGTCACCTTTTGGATTTTTTTCCCAAAAGATAAAAAAAAAGTTATTTTTTTCTCCCTTTGGAGCATCTGCTGAGTGTGAGCTGGCAGGCACTGTCAAAAAAAAAAACAAAAACCCAAAACTGTGCCCTTCAGGTGCTGATAGAGGAATATCAGATGGACAGGGTTAGAGGTTATTTAATTTAAATAATTGCACTGGGAATGTCTGTTCCTGTCGTGTTTGAAGATGAGGAAGCTTTGGCTTTTTGTCCAAACTGCCAAAACGTGAGATTTGTGTAAAGCTTGGGTTGAAGAAAGGAAAATGTGACAATTTTAATGACAGAGCAATTAAATAACTGAATAGCCATGCTGTACACCCAGACTTTGCTATTGCCATCTTTTGGAAGGGAGAGGCGTGGCACCAGTTCCAGAGCAGAGGAGGAGGAATGTTTTTTGCAGAACTGGAATCCCATAAATGAAAAGAACCATTATTCCCACACCTTCATTCCATGTGCTGACATACAGGGAAGGCACGTGGCATTCCAAGGATCCTTCATGTGCGTTTAGCAGGAATTCAGCAATTTAAGGAATAAATTTAAGGAATAAATTTAAGGAATAAATCCTCGTTTGTGGATGTTATGGTGGTTTTCCCTTTTTTTGTGTCGTCCCAGTGAGAGTGAAAACCCCAAAATGAAACATCTCAGAATCTGAATTGCCTCTGCATGGCATGGACTGAGCAGTTCTTCTCCAGTAACATCATTATGATCTTCCTTGTTGATAAATAATTCCTATACCTGCAAAATCCTTCCAAAAAAATTTAAAAATTATATATAATATACAAAATATATATACTACTACTACTACTACTACTACTAATAATAATAATAATAATAATAATAATAATTACAAAATAATAATAAATACAAAATAATAATGAAATACAAAATATATATTATAATACTGATAATAATAATAAAATAAAAAATAAAAATAAAACACTATACACATATAATAATACTGATAATAGTATTTTTAATGATAATAAGAAGAATAATAGTAATAAGAATAATAATAAATATAATTATAAATTACAAATATATATATTATAATACTGATAATAATAATATAATAAGAAGAATACAGAATATCTATAATAATACTGATAGTAATAATAATAATAAAATACAAAATAATAATAATTTAAATACAAAATGTATATAATAATACTGATATTAATAATAATAATAATAATGAGAATAATGATAATAATAATCCTGTAACTGGAAAATTCTAAAATCCAACTCTGCAGCTGGTGCTGTGAACCTCAAAATGGTTATGAGACAGAAAATGTAACAAAGAAAGTGATGCTGGTTTGAGCAGACCATGATCCCTACAGAACACCTGTCATAGCTTTAGGGAGGTCGAGGTGGGATATGGGGAAAATTCCTTCCTGGAAAGGGCTGTCCAGACCTCCAGAGCTGCTCAGGGCAGTGAGAGTTCCCATTCCTGGAGGATTTATAAAAAGTGTGGACATGGTTTAGTGGTGGCCTCTGCTGTGTTGGGAGATGCTTGGACTCGATGATCCCAAAGGCTTTTTCCACCCCAAACAATCCCATGGGGAAGGTCTTTCCTCTCACTTGTGCTCACTGAGACTTTGAGCCCCTCTGCTGCCACTGAGAACTCAAACCCAGCCATGTCAGAATCATTTTGTGGATGAACTCTGTCCCCAGGTTGAGAATTTCTTCTGTATGGGATCTCCTCTGGCCGTGTTCCTGGCGCTGCGCGGGATCCGRCCCGGCACCAGCGGCAGCCAGGACCACATCCTGCCCAGGACCATTTGTAACCGCCTCTTGAACATTTTCCACCCCACAGATCCAGTGGTGAGTCCTCAAGTGCAGTCTCCAGCTTTTATTTTGCCTGGTTTTAAGCTCTGGGATAATATGGGACCTTCAAAATGTGCAAGTCAACACAAGTATGTTCCAGCAGAGGATAATCCCCCAATGTCTTGGGGTTTGGAACTGTGGAATAACATTTCCTACAAATAATTACATATATTTTACTTCTCTTTTCATAGTAATAAGCATAAGATTTGAGATTATTCTTATTTTTCCCCATTAAATAATCCTTTTTTTTAGACAAGGATTTTGTGTTTAACTTCCTGACTTCCAGTAAAACATCATCTGTGCAAAGACATTGCTGCTGTTAAAAAAGGCTTCACAAGCAGTTTACAAGATATTGGAGAAAAGCAAAGACTGTTTTTGGTTTGTTTTTTTTCCCATAGAAACCTCAATAACAGTTCGTTGATAATATTTGGGAGAATATTCTTGGTGTAGCCTTGTCCTCATTCCACAGGCTGTTATCATATCTGGGGATCTGCATCCCCTTGGTGATTTTTTTGGTGCAAGCTTCATTTGGAATTTCATGTGGAACAGCAATTTGGGGATACTTTCCTGTTTAAAGCACCTGAATTTCAGTATATTCAGACTTTTATGCTCATCTCAAGCTTGTGTTCAGCTCTCAAACGAGAATTTTTCTGGGATATCTGGGACAATTGGTTCCACCCTTCACTTAGTTTTACGATCAAGAAGTTCAGGATGCTTTTCTACATCTAAGTGAACAAGGAGAAATAAAGAATCGATAGGAAATTATTTTTTAAACAAATACAGTTTGTGGTTTGCAGAGGGATCAATGAAGAATTATCAAACAAAACACTTGGAGCATTTACAGCCAGTTCCTCCCTCTTTGCTGTTGAGTTTAACTTTGCACAAAGTTTGTTTTCTCAGAGCAGCCTTCTGTTAATAACATTTATGGTGCAAGTGTTGCAGAGATGTGCAAAAATGACACCAAAACTGAATCAAACCACGACACC